GGAATGCAAAGTTCAGAGATGAACCCACTGCAACTCACATTGGGGGTGTTGCTGGAGGGACAACACAGATGTCCCCTGCTCAGCTGCACCCCCAGATGTCACTGGGAAGGAGAGAAGAGGAAGGAAACCCAGTGTCACCCACTGAAGGAAACCCAGTGTCACCCACTGAAGGAAACCCAGTGTCACCTACTCTTCCTACACCTCGTTCGGAGACCAGGAGCAAGGCAGAACAGCAACACCCTCTGAGGAAGGAAGAGAAGGCAGTGAGATTGCTAGAGCCTGCCCAGGACACAGGCAAAAGAAAGGGAAGAACTGGGGAAGAACTGGGAACTGACTTCTGAAATGACTCCTGGAGGAGACAGAACTGGTTGATAAACAGAACGACCGAGTTTAAATACATAAGTATTAGTCACGGGCTAGTAGGATGCTTAAAGGATGATACAACCATTTTTCTCCCCTCTTTTACAATTTCCGTTGAGTCTGCCTCAGCTATTTAAAACTGCAGCTCACTCTTTCCTCCAGATAATCCCAGAAGATGACAAGCTTTGAGCATTAATAGGGAACTACAGAACGGACTTGGTCTTCCACRGTGTCGATGGAGGATTCACCAGCAAAGATCTTTGCTTTCTGTGGTGCCTTCCTCCACACACAGTAGCACTAGCAGCAGTACTGGATTAAACACTCTCCAGCGAGCACCTTCAGGAGACCAAAGCAGCAAGAACGTGCAGCGGGGCTGTGCATGCCACCCTGAGACCCAAAGCCCTCTCGTTCAGAGCCTTCCCCTCCAAAAAGCAGCACCCATTATCACGTAGACACCCACGGCTCCTAGTGCCTTTGCAGTTTTTGTTGCCCTGAAATGCAATCGCCCGCAACGGGGTAACGGGAAATCACTGCCTGCCTTTGGGAGCTGGGAGCGGGAGCGCTGGGATGGRATGGGACTGGGATCCTGCGGGACTGGGATGTCCACGTTCCATGGAGGGTGTTGGGAGCGGAGCGCGAGGAGGAACCGGCCCCGGCGCCAGGTGCTCAGTGYGTTGGGAGCCATTGGGTCCTGCGGCGCGGCCAGGCCTGGGTCCAAGGAGCGCCGGGAACATCACAGATGGATTTGGGGGCACTGAGGAGCAAACCCAGTGCCCCACTAAGGGCACCCAAGGGTGCCCGTCCCCACAGGATCACACTGAGCTGCGCTGCTTCCCGTGGGGTGATGCCTCTCAGCCAGGARCCCTCAGGTAAACACACTGGTGCACATGGTTGAATTCACCAGTGGAAAAGGCACGGATACCTCCAGGGCCTGTATCAGAGCTCTGGGCATAAATCCACATCCTTTTAAAGCGGACATCACAAATAGCAAAAAMAAGAAAGAACTAGGAAAAGCCAACAGCAACAGCTCTGCCAAAAGCTGCCTCTCYATATAGCCCAGCTGTTATCCACAGCAGAGATCCAGAGCGATGCCCGTGCAGAGCCCCTGTCCCGCAGCACAGCTGCCGCTCCTGCCGTTCAGGAGAAATCCCGAGGATTCCCAGGCACTGCAAGGCAGCAGCGACCCCAGCAAATCTAGGCAGCTGATAATGTCACCGCTGCAAGTGCACCGTGTGTTTCTCACCTGAATTTCCCCCTCATCCTATCCTTGCCTGCCATGTTTAAGAGCCACGAGCTGCTGGAAAGCGCCTCTTCCTTTGGATGCCTGTGGATATTTCCCTTTGGTTGCCTTGATACAGACCCTCAGGAGGACCTTGCTCAGCCAAGACAGGCTCTGTGCCAGGCCCCGTCATGGACCCGGGACTGGGTTGGGGGCCTCCTGCCCCTTTTCCCTGCAGAGCAGGGTGTTTTCCCTRCAGAACAGGGTGCAGAACAGGTTATGGCAAACAACCATGAGACAGACAGCCCTCTTACCCCACAACAGGCGCACTCCGACTGTCTTCATAGCTGGTTACCAATGGTTACCTGCAGGTATCTAATCACAACCGCACTCGTCGCACTGAAGCTGAGCATGTTGACCCCATCCTGCTTCGACTGGGGTGTAAAATACCCCCAGCTGCTCAAGCTGGAGCCCGGTTCTCCTTGGAAGGCGCGGGTGTGCRGTGCACAACTCGCCCTGCGGGTCGGGGTGCTGCCTGAGGAGGCTCCTCCAGCTTGAGGGTCCTCTCCCATCTTCTAGGGCAAGYGGTCATTGCGCGTTGGTACCTTGCAGCTAGCTAAGAACCTCRCAGAATAGCAGAGAAATTCTAGTTCTGCCAGCCCAAACCTGCTCTGTGGATGTTGTGTTGAATAAATCACACCATTGGTGACCTCAACCAACTGTTCTGAACGCAGTCGGAGTCGACAGGGCGTTTGTGAATCTGCTGCGGCCAGAGCCAGGCGTAGAGCACCATGGAATTTTGCATCCCTATTAAGCAATAAGTCCAGACACTCCCAGGTCATCGAAGCTCCGACGATCTGGAGCACAAAGGGATTCATTTCTTATCCAATTTGCCCTCCTCAACCCACAACAGGGACATGTTTTCACTCACGAGCAATGGGAAATCAAGGTTGATGGATTCACCAGCAAGACGTGAGTCTGGCTCCCCAGAGCGGAGAAGTCAGGGAGAAGCTCACTTCTATTTTGGGCTGTTTATAAACAGCTTCCTAGTTACCCAAGTTTGCCCTTTTCATCGCAGAGAAAGACGACGTGATATTATGTAGTTAGAATATTTCTAAATATACCTGCTGCTCCCAAGATTTAGGAGGGAATCGGGGTGCCTGGAGCTCCGCTGCAAAAAGGGAATTTTGGGCAAGGGAAGCTCCAGGCTTTCCCATGCCCAGGACTGGCAGGCAGGGCACGAGGGGCTCCGGGGGTGGCATTTTATTGTGGGGACTGCAAAGCACTTCTAGATGTGCAAAATAAGGCAACGTTGGCACTTGGCCGGGCCCCGAGCGCAGCCAGGGGCGCCCAGAGCGCCAGGCGCAACACGGAACCCACCCAGGGAAAATGGGATTTGTCACCACGGGCCCCGCGGCCGCCTGGGGTGCTCCGCACGGCTCCATGTCCTCGCTCCGTCCCATGTGGAGCACAGCGGTGCTTGCCGCCGTCCGAGGATGCCCCCTCGATCCCGGGGCGGTGCAGGGTCCTGCTCCGGTACCAGCACGCGCTGACCTGCCAGCACGGGGCATTTTCCAGGCACCAATCCCAGCTCCTGACAATACCAGGGAGAAGCAAGCGAGGCTCTGTTGTTTCATTGTGGGTTCTTTGTTTATTTTTTTTTCTCTTTCCCCCCAGGCATTGAAATCGCAGGAGAAAGTCAGCCCTGCAAGATCCAGTTACCGCAACACAATCTAACGGGGCCAGTCCCGCCGCGGCGCTGCAGCCGCAGCCAGGTCGCTTCGTCTTCCGCGGCCTGAAGCTGCTAAAGGCCAAACGGGAGCAGGAGGGGACAACAAAAAAGCTCCTTTCTCAGGACCTGCAGCGCTGCCCTGCCCACGTGACGTGTCCTCTCGCAGGGGACCTGTCCTCGYGCTGCTCTCCCTGCCCGTGGTCCTGAGCCTTCTCCCAGGACRGGCAGGCACCCATGCGCTCTTGGGCATCATTTTTCTTTTCCTTTTGTTTTTCTCTTCCTGAAAACCACAGATTTCCTCGGTCCTCCTGATCCTGGACACTTTCACGGACCATTTGCCTTTGGCTTTTCCTCCTCATATGGTCAAAACCGAACTCGCATCACGAGTGATGCCGACTCGAGAGCCCTCCCTGGCTGCACGCGCAGCTTTTCCAGGGGGAACTCAGCATGGAGCAGGAATGCRCATCGGGAACTGGGACCACATGCAAACCAGGGCACCAGAACCTCCGGAGAGAGGACGGAAAGACCTTACCCCCTTGTTCAGCTCTCCAAAGAAACATCATTACTTTTGCTTCCAGAAACGCTATTTTCCTCTTTTTCTCCCTGCTCAGATGCTGGCCGCACGTCGGGGCCCAGCCAAGACAGRACCTTCCTGTCATAAACTCTGCACATATCCATGACAAGCAACTTCCAAGCGCACCCAGCCTGGTCAGGGCTCGACTGCTCTGCTGGGAGCTGCCGGGCATCGTGCAGGGCATTGCGGGCGACCTGGAAGAGATAAGGAACCGGAGCCATCTGCTAACAGGGATTCACACGTCCTCTTCACACTGCCGATCCTCTGCAGCCCTATCCCGGAGCAGCAGATGCAGATCAGGCCTGGGATGCAAAATCCCAGAGATAAATCCCMAAATCCCCAAAATTCCATGAGATGAATAGCTCCAGAGTCTCATTCTTTGGCTTTCTGGCTCAGCCCGCATGGAAATGGAGGGGAACCGAAGGCTTCCCGGCCTCCCACACCTGGAGCACATACCAAATATTCCTAGTGCAGAGGGTAATAAAGGTTAGTGGGGAGAGGGCTCAGCTGCCACCAAGGCACAAAAGGCAGGAGAGGGGCTGGCACGAAGCTTCCTAGACCCAAGGCTCAAAGGGAGACACTAAACGACTTGCAGGTGCGAGTACCCAAGTCCTAATAAAACTTGTGTGCAAACGTATCCGAGTCCAAACACAAGAGTGGATTTGAATGGAGTTATAAACCGCCCAAAGGGAATGACTGAGGGCAGAACCTGCTTCTGAGAGTGATTTTCACAAAGCAGCCAACTTTTCTCTCTTTTCTGCCCCAAGAGTCAGAGATGCAGGAGAGGAACAGCAGGGCCTGAGAGCCCGGAGATGTGCAAAGGAAAACAAGGGGAAAGGAAACGGCGCCTGGAGGAAGGCCCCTCCATCCTCCCTCTGCAGCCCTGCAGAAGGAGGCCAGAGCAGAGCCAAAGCGCAGCACAGACGTCCCCACCGTGCGCAACGCGGGGATCTCACAGGACACCCCGCTCCTTCCCGGCGCAGCTCCCTGCCCGGCAGCCCTCGTGTCCACGCAGAGCTTCTCCCCATTTCTCCACGTTCGCGTTCCCCATTCAGTCCCTCACAACAGCACCACGGAGGCGGCCCTGCACCTCGCACGGCGCCGCGCTGACTTACGTCCACGGAGAGCTCCCTCTGCACGGCCCTGCGGCTCTCCTTGCCGCAGTGGTTGAGGGTGGCGTCGCAGTTGGGCGCAGCCGCCGGCGGCTTCTCCGCCTGGCCGCTCTGCTCCAGCTCCAGCGAGACGCCGCCGTCCCCRTCGGCCACGTCCAGCTCCTTCTCCAGCTCCTCCATCTCCTCCGGAGACAGGGTGGACAACAAGCTGTCGATGTCCGGGTCCTCGCTCACTTGGCGCCGGTATTTGGCCACCTTGGACATCCTGGAGGCTCGTTGGCGAGACACGGTTGCGGTGGGGTGTGGGACCAACGACGGGAAGAAAAACCGAAGCCTCGACGGGGCTTCGTGGGCAGCACGGGTGCCGAAGCGCTAACCGGCAGCAGCTCTGGGCTGCGCGAGCCCCGGGGAAGGGGAGTTTTGAGGAGGGGACACCCCTCGGCGCAGGACGCGGCTGCCGCGAGGCCAATGGAGCCGGGCGGGAGGCGGGAGCGGCGCTGCCGCCGGCGCCGCCTGCAACCCGAGGACATTCCAGGGAAGCAGGCAGAGCTGCATGACCAAATTTAGTCCGGAGCATTTAGCCTTTTAAAGGCAATGGGCCAACATAGGGAGAAAACAGGCAAAAAAAAAAAAAAAAGCGCACGGGCTGGCAGGCGGGGGTGGCGCGGGGAGCGGCGGGGGCCGCGGGGTGTCAGGGTCCCGGGGGGTCCCGGGGGGCTCCGCGCCGTGCCGTGCACGTCCCGGGGAGCTGCTCTGCAGCACCGGTAGCCGCAGCTCCTGCCGCAGTGGCAGCAAAATGCCCGCGGGGGCGGATGTCCCCCTTGCGGGACGGGCTCGGAGCGGTCCTGCTCCCTGTCCCTTCATCCTGGCCACCCTCCTGGTGGGGACAGGTCCCCGCCAGCGCAGCTCCTCCTCAGCGCTCGGCCGCGCCAGCAGCGCTTCGCTCCCCTGCAGTAAAACAACTAGGTCTTCCTCGACCCTCTAATCACCGTCTCTGTGCATCTCCAGGCTCAGTTCCTGTCCTGAGCCGGGGAGCGGATGCTCCAGGTGCACCTTCCGCTGCTTTATGTCACCAAACCACCTTTCCTCCTCCGGAAAACCAATGTTTTCCACCTCTTGTTGCATTTGAGGACTTCATTTATCTCCAGCATCACAGCACCGACCTTTCCTCTGATTTCTCTGTGATAGGAAAGCTCCTACCTCTCCTATGATTCACCAGCACAAGAGAGATTTTTCCTCAGATTGTAGAAGAAACTTGTGATTTTTATTTTATTTCTTATTTTTTTTAGTTTCCAAGCACATAACCGTAAATGCTGCAGGACTGAATCTCATCCCGTTTCACTCCATCATTTCTGATATCCTCATTCTCATCTCTATCAATCACAGCAGCATCAGGAAACGTGGCATGAAGGGGAAATGCCACCAACATGCTCCTAAATTCTGTGCCGAGCTCCTATGTGAAATTGGAAAAGACTCTTGACAAGATGGAGTTGTGAGGAACCTTGACGGGAACCTTAGGATCACAGGATCATTGTGGTTGGAAAAGACCTTCAAGATCATCCATCCAACCTTCCTCCATCGCCAGCGCTGGGCATGGGGGTTTTGCAGCATCAGGCGCCCTGACACCACGTGTCGGATCCCCCAAGAAGCTGCAAACGTGATCTGGGAGCTCTGGAGTTTCTCCTAAAGCGTCCTGCGCCCTCCGCTGACCTGGGGTGTGCTTTGCTGAGCTGCAAAGCTGGCCGGGCAGAGCTAAAAGGGCCAGTTTTGCAGAGAGATTCCGTTGCGAGGGCCTGGGGCAGCAGCAGAGAAGCAAGGGGAGCAGCAGGGTGAGCTTGGACTCGCCACAGCGGCCTCGTAGGGTCGCAGTTCTGTAGGGTGTAGGGTGTAGGGT